AAAGCTAGAAGCAGCAAAAGCTAAAATTAGCAAAACATTGTTATCAAAAAGCTAGCTGAAAGGTAAAAGTAGCAAAACACTAGCTAAATGCTAAAAGAGGCTAAATGTTAGCTAAAACTTATAGGACCAAAACACACAAGCTAAAACTAGCAAAACTAGTTACACGTTTAAAGTAGCAAAACTCAAGCTAAAAGCAGCAAAAGACAAGTACCACAAAGGGTTGAAGCTAAAAAAAAGCTAGCTAAAAGGAATTAAACTGATTCCTAAACACTAGCTAAAATTACTCAAGATAATAATTAATTATAGCTAAAGTAAAGCTAGAAGCAGCAAAAGCTAAACTTAGCAAAACATAAAAATTATCAAAAAGCTAGCTGAAAGCTAAAAGTAGCAAAACATTAAAATTATCAAAAAGCTAGCTGAAAGCTAAAAGTAGCAAAAAACTAGCTAAATGCCTAAAGAGGAAAAATGTTAGCTAAATTAAATAAGGAACAAACATGTCCTAACACTATAAAAATTAGTTAAAAACCAAACGTAGCTAAAGTAAAACTAAAAGCAGTAAAACTTATGTTTAGCAAAAGCTAACAAATAGTATCAAAACGCTAGCTTGCCTAGCTAAAAGCAAAAAAAGTAAAAAGTGAGCTAAAACTAAAAAGAACAAACCACACTAGCTGAAATTAGCAAAACTAGTAAAAATCTAAAACTAGTAAAAGTAAAACTAAAAGCAGCAAAAGCTAAATTTAGCAACAGGCTAAAAATATCAAGATGTTAGCTTGAAGCTCAAAGTAGCAAAGCACTAGCTGAAAGATAAATGTATCCAAAGGATAGCTAAATGGTTAAAGGAGCAACAATGCTGGATAATAGTAAAAATATCAAAAGGATCAAACTAAAAGTAGCCGATTGGTAGCTAAAAGCTACAAGTAAGAAGACTTCTGCTGAAGATTTCCAAGAGAAGAATGTTTTTGAAGAAAATCTGAACATATTTCTGTGGGTAAAATAACTAAATAAAGTAAAATATTTTAAAACGTATAAACGTTATTAATAATAAGAGGGACAGCACTGAACTCCTGAATGTTTTGATTCATGAATGACTGAAACAGCTCAATACACCGTATTATATTACATTATTGTTTAGCGTACATCTTAGATCCCTTTATACTGTTTCTTTTTTTAAATACTTTATATTTTTGAGTGTAACTGGAACCTTTATTTCGTTCCACCTCATGTACCACATGTGATGCGAATGACAATAAAGTCACATTGAACCTTGAACAGAACCCGTCATGGCGTCAGAAACCCAGAGAGCAGGTGTTTGTGATGATCAGCTTGTTGTTCCTGCTCATGTGACGGCAGCCTCTGTGTTGAACACGCGTGTTGCTGCGGCACACGTCAGTCACGGTAAAGATGGTTCCTCCATCAACACAACAACAGAACAGAAACAAAAAGAGGCCTCAGAGACTCCACAGAGCTCAGACTGGACGGTTCTGCTCAGCAAACACCACCACGGGAGCAGAACCTGCACTGCAGGGCCCGGCGCTCCTCAGATCCCAGCTGAAGGCTAAGAGGATCAGGTCCTCTAAAAATAAACACACCCGAGGAGCTTAACACCTGAAGGGACGGAATCAACAAACAGCCGAAGAACGGCTGTTCGTCTCCATCACATATCACATCAGAAAACGGTGAAATATATCAGCTAAATCGAGCAGGACATAGCTAAAGATAGCAAACAGTCTAAAGAAGCTACAGTGACCAAATCAGGAGCTACAAAATAAATTCAGCTGTTTATAGTAAAAAATGTAGCAAAAGCTAAAATTAGCGAAACAACTAAAAGCCAAAGGGGATAAAAGCAAGTAAAGTTAAAGGTAGCAAAACTAACTAGAAAAAAAGTAGCTTAAAGCTAAATGACCACTGTAGCTACAAGCTAAAAACAAAAGCCAAAAATAAATAAAATTAGCAAGAGTAGAAAAAAAAAGATAAAAGTAGCAAAATACGTATAGTTTCGTTCCACCTCATGTACATGTGATGTGAATGACAATAAAAATCCTTGTAAAATCATATCTACAAGCAAAAAAAAAAAAAAGCTAAAGGCTAAAATTAAATCAATCGCAGTTAAAAACTTAAATGTAGCAACATCAAACCAAAAGCTAGTTAGAAAAACAATAGCTAAAGGCCAATAGAAACAAAAAGTAGCTAAAGTTAAATTAGTTAATATAGACTACGGCTAAATGTAGCAAAATCACAGCTAAAAGGTAAACGCAGCAAAACTGTAGCAAAGATTTCAAATCTATTAAACCACAGATCAAAGCAAAACAATAGCTAAAATATGCACAATTATAGCTAAACGCTGCAATCTAACAAAATAGGTATAAGCTAAAATTTGAATAATTGTAGCTAAAAGATAAATGTAGCAAAATTATACTTAAAATTTCTTAAACTGCACCTGAAATCAAAAATCTGCTTAACAGTAGTTAAAAGCTAAAATTAACAAATCTTTAGCTAATTTTAAAAGTAGTTAAAACCTAATGTAGCCCTGTTATTTCTAAAAGCTTATCAAAAAGTTAATGCTAGCTAAATTGAAGCTGAAAATTAAAACAGCTGCAATGTGAAGGTGCAGCTGACATTAGCCAGGTGTGTGCACGTGTGTGTGTGTGCATGTGTCACAGGAAGCCTTTGAGGTACAGGATGGAGCCAGCGCTGCAGGACGGGGCGCAGCAGGAAGTGAGTCATCACAGGATCATAGTGAACCAGGAAGCAGCAGCGTGCTGTGGAGGCGCTGATCCAAATCGAGGCAGGCCGAGCCCCGAGCCAGAACTCCTGAATCAACAAGTCCCAACACATTTTTAAACGGAGTGATTTAGTTGCAGCTGTCCGGCTGCAGACGGGAACAGTTCCATCTCAACACGGAGCTGAAAACCCCTGAAGGAACTCTGGAGCATCAACGCCGCCAACCCCCCCCCACGTCAAGCTGACAAACGTTAAAGTGAGCCAAGAGGAAAAAGAAATGTTCAAGCTGCTGCTAGTGGCTCCTTTTGGTCACCATGGTAACCACACACGTCACTCCCTGAAGTTAATGAAAGGCAGGCAGAAGCAGACTGAAAAGTAAGCCTCAAACGATCCGTCAATGCATAAAAACTACACGTCCAATCTTAAAACGCCTTGAACGTGCGCAGCAGAAGATCCCGACGGTCGCGCGTGAGGATTATTAAATTTCTACAATGTTTTATGTTCAAAACACGACAAGTTAAAAAGACCCTTCACTTCCAGTTTGGAGCCAAAACAGCACGGATTCTGCGGATGTGCTCTCTGTACTGTGGGCAGATTCTACACACACTCTGAGCAAAAGACAAATGTCCCTCCAGGTTCACGTAGTTTGTTTAAATGTCCAAAAAGAGTCGAGGGAGTGAGAAAGGTTCAATTAAAAAACAGTTAGAATCAGAAGAGTCAAATCTGTACGAACTGTGATTGTGTAAAAACCACGAGAGGAATAAAAACGATGCGTAACGTGCACGTTTTAAACAAAGTCTTTTTAAGACCTGCAGTCATCTGACAACCAAAACCTTTACCGTACGGTTCTCCGAGTTGTTGGGATCAAGTCAAAGTTTTAGTGCAGGTAAAACTTTACGACTTCATTTACAGGCTGTAATGAAAACAGACCATCAGGCGCTTTGATGACATTTTACTCAATTTATTGTAGAAAAGATTAAATCTTTTCAAAATTAAATGAAGGGGGGAAAAAGTTTATTTGTACAGAAAAGAGTAAAAAGATCCAAACAGAAAATACCCAAAATAATAAGTTTTAAATGGATGATCAACTTAATTTAAGCACGTCCAACCTCACCTGCAGTTAGAAAACGCCAACGAGTCGTTTTACTGGTGAAATGTACAAAACAAGAGGAAGAATTTACAGACAAACAGGAATAAGGTTGATGTTTGTAATAAGGAAGGAGCCGACAGCGCTCGGAGCAGTTTTCGAGTCTCACGACTCTAACGACCGCATCCACGGAGCTGAGCAGACGCCACACGGGCGGCATGATTCGGTTCAGAAGGAAGGGAGCGAGTGTCCGGGTACGAAAAAGAGAGAAATAAATTAAAATTATCGCCGTTTATACACAATCCTGAGAGCTTCAGCTTCTCAAACGAGCCCGGGGATAAAAAAACAAACTCCTCCTGCTGCAGCGTCTCTGAAAGCGTCGTCGCGCTCAGGCCGACCAGGCGAACTTCAGTTTGTGATTGTCGCGGCGCTGCTCGACCCAAACGCTCGAAAACTGCGGCTGTTCTACTTTAACGTTATCATTCTGATACATTTAACGTTTAACCGCTTCAGTTGATCCAAGCAGCAAAATTTGATTTCGGAAGAGTTAAACGCTCGGTTCAAAACCAAGGAAACAACAACGAGCGCCGTGCGGCGTCCTCGCCGTGCGGCGTCCTCGCCGTGCGGCGCGATGCAAACGAAGGCCGGAGTGTGAAAAAAGAGCGTGAGCGTAGTGGTTACTGACAGGTCCGGGGTAAGAGCTAAATAAGAGCTAATAATAAGAATATAAACCTCAGAAGTACAAAAATAAATACTAACAAAAACAAACTTATTACAGATTTACTCTTTATCCAGAGACACGTTAAAGGAAACGTGTGTCGGTGCACAGGAAGTGATGACGGGGGAGAGTTGCTTCGGTGCCGTTTAGTTAAATAAAAGTCAAAAATCACAATCGAGGCATATTTAGGAGGAGATGTTCCCCCCGACGCTGTCAACAAACAAACAAACAAACAAACAGTGCACCGGTTTAAAGAAACATAATTTACAACGAAACAAATGAGAGTGAAGGAAATAAAATGAAACCTGTGAAGCGAAACGATTCATTTTATACGTTCGTCTGTCTGAGACAAGAGAATATATCTTTTATACATCGATAAGTTTGATTAAAATAGAAATCTAACTTTAAACGTTTCTCATTACAAGAGTCTCTCAGATCAACTCATCCACAACACTGTGTGTGTGTGTGTGTGTGTGTGTGTGTGTGTGTGTGTGTGTGTGTGAGTGAGTGTGTGTGTTTGTTACAGGCAGCTGCTGCAGTGCACGCTCTACGATTCTTTTTTTTCCAGTGTCCATAAATCCTACAAGAACCCTGGCGGAGCAGCAGGTTCTGGTTCTAGGACTCGAGTTCCGGGTCGGGTCACTGGCAGAACGGTGAGGCTGTCGGGTCGAATCCTTTGAAAACGTCCTTCAGGGAGGCGTTGTCCTGCTCGGTGGCTGCTGGGTCGGACTGGGCCGGGCTGTTCCCTCCAAAGGGGCTACTTGTCCCGCCCGGTTTGGCGGCCTGTTTCACGACCCCGAACAGAGAGGACACGGGCAGGTTGTGGACTCCAGCGGGTCCTGGATCTGCAGCAGCAGCAGCCCCAGGTGGGCCCTGCCCTCCAGCTGCGGGGGCAGGCCCCACCTGGGTCGTGGAGTTAGGTGAGGGCGTGGGCTTCGGCCGCGGCCGGTTGTAGCTGTTATATCGATCCGTACCTTGCTCTCCACTTTTCTCCGGTTCTGGTTGGTCCAGTGCGGACTTCCGAACAAACAGGGGCTCCTTGGACTTGGGTTTTCCCCCCGTGGGGTCGCTGGGTTTGGACTCTGAGCTGGCTGAGGAGGGGGAGTTGTTGGAGCCACCGCTGGATGCGGGGCTCCCTGGTTTGTTAGTCCTCGGGTCGTACAGGCTGATGCTGCTCAGCACACTGGCTCCCCCTGGTGTCCCGGCTCCTACACCGCACCCTGCTCCCCCTGAGGAGAGGAGCCTCGGGTCGTAGGGGGCGATGGTGGAAGGGGGGGAACCTGCTGCTGTTGCTGGAGGCGCAGCGGACACGGGGGCAGCAGGCGCCGGTTCTGATGGCTGCTTCAGAGCTGACTTCGGTGGCTGGAGACGGGAGTCAGGCGGAGTTTTTCGGGCGACACGCTGGTCCACTGGTTTTTCTGCGAGTGAGGTAGTCACGGGGGGAGGCTGAACCAGCAGAGAAGCAGGACAAGCAGGAGTGGGCAGGTGGGGGGGAGACAAAGTCTTGGACGGGCTCGAGTTCACGGTTTTTAAGATACGAGAAAGCAGCTCAAAGTCCGGGAGGGAAGAGGAGGAAGGCACGGGGGGATCCATCGAGGGAGGGGGCTGTACGGGGGGAGACTGTGACCTGTGGAGCTGCTGAGCTCTGGACAGGCGGGGGTCCAGGGAGGGTACAGGGGGGATGCCTGGTGGGAGTGGCAGGAGGTCCTGTTTGGGAAGAGGCAGTGGGAGCAGGTCTTCAGGGGACCAGGTGATGGTTTTACAGAAGGCCGGCATGTGCAGAACGATGTCCTTCTTGATGTGGCTGAACTGCTGCAGCTGGGAGCGGGGGTCCCTCAGAGCCATGCCCATGAGCGGGTCCAAAGGAATCGGCACGGGCTTGTCCCTTAGAACCCGCTCCGTCTCCTCCTCCTCTGCTGCTGGGGCTGTAAGAGGCGGGGGCTTGTAGATCAGAGGAGGTTCTGGCTTCGAAGCAGGAGGTGAATGTGAGCTGGATCCTGACGAGGCAGCTAGCCTGGCTAATCTCGGATCTGCAGGCGGTCCTGAGGAAGGCGGGCCGGCCGTGGACTGAGCCGGGTCTGGGTGTTGAGCAGAGTCGGTGATGCGGGCCAGGCGAGGGTCCCGAGCCAATCGGGGGTCTGCTGGGCGAGCGGGGAGGTTGGTGGGAGCAGCTTTCTGGAGACGGGGGTCACTCGGGTGGCTGTCAGACTTCTGAGGAGCCTGAGTCTGCTGACGAAGCGTCTTCAAGATGGAGGTCACGCTGCCACCGCCGTCCTCATCTTCACTGGAGTACCAGTTTCCTGAGTCACCTGGAGACCGGAAGAACATTTCTAAGAATTAACAAACAAAAACACGTTCTTTTTCAAAGTTGAAATGATCCAGAAACCTGACGGTGAACATTTACCTTCAACATCTTTACTCCTGTCCGCTCCTCCCTCAGTCATCCTGCGAGCTCTCTCCTCCTCCTCCTGCTGCTTCTGCTGGATCCTCATGAACAGAACGCGCTGAGCCGGAGGCAGGAAGTCGGGAACAGAGATCCCTCCCTGGCTGGCTGAGGAGCCATTAGCCGAGCCTTCTTGGCCCCCTGAATGATTATTAAAATCCCCCGCTCCTCCTCGCTCCTCCATGCCGGTGAAGCTGTCGCCTGGGAGGAAACAGGAAGTGCTCATGAGTTTGAAAATAAAGCGCTTTATTCCATCAGTCGTCACTGTGACCATCGGACGTTTCGTTTCTCACCTTCTGACACCACCCCCTCCATCGGTATGCCCTCCTGCTGATTGTAGAAGTTGTTGAAGAAGTTTCCTCCCCCCTGAGGAGGACCGTCACCAGGTGGAAATCCTCCCATCATGGGGGGTCCACAGGGCCCCATGTTCGGAGGACCCTGATTTGCACCAGCGCTGGAGCCCATGTCGGGGGACATCATGCCTGGAGGGGCAGGGAAGCGGGGCGGAGCAGCACCAGGGGGTCCTTGTGGTCCAGGAGGTGAGGGTTGAGCCTGGCCTCCACTGGGAACCTGGCTTCTGACACAAAACACTCAATGTAACTTCAAGTCTGCGCAGCTCTGCAGGTGAAGTCAGATCTAAAGATGGATTTTAATCTTAAAGATGATTCTGGACTTCCTACCTGACGGCCAGTTTCTGGGCCAGCTGTCCCGTCGGCTGGACTTTAATCTCAAACAACGAGGGGATCTTCTTCCCCCCGCAGCTCCCGGCTCCTCCACCTGCAGGTGGAGGGACCATGTGGGGAGGAGGGACACTGGGATTTGGGGGTGGCCCTCCCAGGAATGGACTTCCATCAGGACCATGGACAGGGGGACCAGGGCTGGGGTTGGGTCCAGGGACAGGAGCTGGAACCGCAATAGGACCCTGGATGGGTCCAGGATGACCCCCAAAGTCACATGCTGCGGGCCCACCATAATCCCCCACCCCTGTGTTGGTGTCCATCGAAATGGGCCGAGGAGGCGTAGGGAGGAGTCCCACTCCAGGAGGGGGTTTAGGAAGAGGGTTGATGCCCTGCTTCTTCAGCTCCTCCACCTCCTTCTCATCCTCGGCTCCAGCTTCTGCATCCTCTGCAAGCATCTGCGAAACAACGTGAAACGGGTTCATCTTCAAACGACGACCTGAAACGCTGAAACTACGCCTCATTTCATGTAAACGAGCAGTTCTCCAAAAAGAGAACGTCGGAGGACCCCCACCTTGTTGAGCAGCTCCTGGGTGTCGTCGTTGAGGGAATCGTGGGAGAACATGCACTCTTCTCCGTTCACACAGTTCCCGGTGGTGTGGAACAACTTACAAGGAAATTCACGTGACGTGAGAGTCAAGGAGGAACACAGGACTTTTTTAACATTTTAACTTCTGTCGCTTCATTTTGGTCAAACACAACTCGAGTTTCTCTCCAGACAAGAGACGGGAGTGAAACCAGGAGGACGTCCCTCTGAGCTGGGCAGCGGTAAAGGATATTGTGCATGTAGGGGCAGTGGTCGGCTCGGGCGCAGAACCCCGTGATGTAGAATTTACACAACTCCTTCTTCTTGGGCATCTCGATGTCGTGGCTGAAGTTACAGTGGTCCCCCTGGTGGTTGGACAAGATGGAGGGACATTCGTAAACCTTTTGTCTTCACCGTCAGACCACACATTAATGCTGCTCCAGGGTGCTGTTGCAATCTACAAACAGTTGAATAATGTCTTCATAATTTATACCTTTCTACAGATTGTCAACGTGAGAGCAGTTCTCGTTGAACTAGAACCGTGCTGACGACTAAAGTAAACGAAGATCCACAGATAACTCCTGACGAGTTTCAGGGGGCGAGCTCTGAGTTTGTAGCCTCAGTCATTCACACTTTTCCTTTGAACTCAACAAAAAAAAATTCACAGAAACTGGAAATTTCCTCCTCACTTACTTTATGGCTGTTTTATGACAATAAATACTTTTATTTTAACGTGTTTTTAACACTATATTATTCATTTTGTAACATAAATACTACATTCAGCCGACTCTGAGGCGCTTGAATGGTGAATGTTTGTAGTTCTGCAGATGAGTGTTTTTCTGGACTGGAACAGAGAAATGAAGTAAACCTAAATGTTTTTAGTCCAAGATATTAAAGTGGAGGAGTTACACAGAGGGAGGTTATTTTATTTTGCTTGAAGCAGAGCAGAGTCACGGATCCTGGAGGGAGCAACTTTCTACACCACCTGGTGCAGTGGTGGAGCCGGGGGGGGGGGGGGGGGACACTGGTGGCCCTGGCCCCCATAGATTAATCTTTGACCACCTCAATCATTTGAGGAAACCATACTTTTAAACAAGATAAAAACTAGAAAGCATAGTTTCCTCAAATGATGGGAGTGGTTGGTTTACACACACACACACATAGTGGTGGCCATCTTGGATTTTGACATGGCAACACAATTTGTATAATTTGACACAATTTGACTATGAATCCTACTCTGCACTTGCCTTTTGGCTGCAGTAGATCGTTAAATTAAGCCTTTGACCTGCTGGGTATCCTCACAGAAAGTGTGAAACGTCACTAAACGTAAAGCGTAAGCTGCTGAAACAGAAACATTTGATAGTGAATAGTGAAGTCCTACCCAGGTGCATCTCCCCTCGATGTAGTACTTGCAGATGGCCTTTCCTTTCCTGTCCTGGTGTTTTTCATTATGATGCCTCCTCCCTGCTCCTGGACCATCGCCCCCCTCCTGAGTTACAGAAACCAGCATCGACACATTAATCAACAGCTTGAAAGGGGCGGGTTTGTTTCGGCGTCAGTGCACCTCGTTTTGTTTTACCCCGTTGTCCATGTCTCCGTTGTTGTCGTCATCGTTCCCCATGTCGCCTCGTCCTCTCCCTCTGTTTCGACCTTTTCCTCCTCGGATCAGCCCCCGCCCTCCTCTACCTCGTCCTCGACTGCGGCCTCCTTTACCTCCTGGGTGAGAAATCAGTGACACCAGTCAATTTTTGTTTTTACTGTTTTCAAGCTAACTCCACAAGTCGATAAAGGTTTGATTCACTCAGATAAATGAAACCCACAAACCTCGGCCTCGGTCTTTGGACTTTTTGTACTGACTGAGTTCTTTCGAGTAGTCATCGTACTCTTCATCCCCCATGTTTTCATAGTCGTCATCGCCGTACTGTAAAAGAGAAAAGAGGAAGAGCCACTGGTTTATCACAAGAGCTAACTTTAACACGAGGCTCAATCCAAAACGTTTCCCCCACCCAAAAAAAACATTTTTATTTTACTGGACCAGCTCAGATTTTTATTAAACTTTGCAAATTTATCAAATTCCCACACCAGTATCTCACATTTTATGTCAAGCAGACCAGCGGTTCCAGAGATGCCCCCCCCCCCCCCCACACACACCCAAATGTTCAGATTTTCTGAAAAGAAATGCGGCCGCTGATCTTCAACAATGACCTCAGAACTACAGGGTCGAGTCTCTGGGAAGGGAATGACGGGCAAATCTGCCATTCTGTTCTGATTTAGACAAGTCAGGGCTTCAGGAATGACGACGTGCGAGCACTCTATAGTAACGTAGAAGAACAAACGACAAATATGTGCAGAGAATTATTTCCTTTAATCTGATCTTTCCACAAAGCCACTTTGATTTATCGATACCAGGATGATCTTGAATTAAACTGAAGCGTGAAGTTTTACAATCACGTGTCTCGTTTTTTGCTTCAACAACAACAGTTTAAAAACCTCACCTCCATTTCATCTCCATAGCCGTCTCCATCGTCGTCTCCTCCCATTCTTTCTCTCCCTCTCCCTCCTCGCCCTCTGCTCCCTCCTCGCCCCCTCCTCCCTCCCCTCAGCCCTCCACGGCCTCGCAGGCTCCTCATGCGACCTCTGCTCCCTGCAGAGACACAAAGACGGCGATGAAACTGGAGCGAGACTCTCCTGCGTGCAGCCAACCTGTGGACTTTGGGCCGGGAAAGCAAACAGACTCCAGAACCGTTCTGCAAGATAAACTGCTAATGTGAGCAAACCAAAGACGCAGTAACGTTCTACTTAATGCGCTCCTTTGATCAACTTTATTACGGACGAGGGTTGTAGAAGTGACTTGTTTAAATATAACTGTGAAGTCCAATCAGTTTGTTTCAGGAACCAAACGGACCAGGGAAAGGCAGCGATGTTTAAACATTCAAATTCCAGATTAGATGAGTGAATACAAAGAATTAACGTGACTGTCATGGTAATTTAGTTTCTTCTTTATCTCAGACGCAGATACCTGGAAGTGACACGCCTAACGATGCTTTTCCAGTCGGAGCGCTTTTCTCAACAGAACACCTACCGCCCGCCCCGCCTCAAATTGAAAAAAGAGAAACAGCCAGCAACCCCCCAGCCCGTCTCTGCTGTCAGTTTATTTTGAAAGGATTACAAAGTGGAAGCAATGCTCAGGGGTAGTCTGCTCTTACAGCGGTTTGTTGTGCTGAAAGCTGTGTCATAAAGAAAAGAACGAACATTACTGGAATGATGACAAATGGAGTTTTTGCTCCCTAAAATGGACCCACCTCGTCCACCGCGGCCCCCCTCCTTGGCCCTGCGGTACTGGTTAAGCTCCTTGGCGAAGTCGTCATAATCTTCATCTCCCATATCTTCATCCTCCTCTCCCTCGTAGTTGTCCTCGTTGTATTCATCGTAGCCTCCATAACTCTGTTTGTCCATCTTCATGTAGCTGCCTTTCTTGGAGCTGCTGTAGCCCCCATGAGACTTCAAGCAAACGGAAAACACCAGAACAATTAATGACTTTATTGTCTTGAAACTTTGGTGCAGAATCTCACTGAGACTTACAGAAGGGCCGTACTGATCGCCGTACTCTCTGTATTTCCTCTTCTCGCTGGGACTGTAGTCGGAGTCGTCGCTGTAGTCCGAGTGGTCGTCATCGGAGGAGGCGTGTCGCTGCAGCAACACGTTAATCACACACAAAGTCTCGTTTTCCTCAGATGAAAACACAAAACTGAACGTTTCTTAAGCTCAGCGGCTGCGTGAATTCTTACTTTATGCTTTGATTTGCGTTTCTTCTTGGACCTCCTCTTCTCTCGTTCTTTTTCTTTCTTTCTCTTCCTCTTGCGGCGGTGAGACCTATCGTCGTCCGAGTTGCTGCTGCCGTGGCGCTCCTTGCTTTTCCGAGGCCTCTCCGCCGTCTTCTCTGCTCCTGCTTCACCTCCTCCCCCACCCGCTTCGTCGCACTCATCTCCACCTTGGACCACTGCTGCACCTCCCTCCATTTCCTCCTCCTCCACTTCTCCTGCATCATCTTCCAGCTCGCCCTCCTCCAACTCTTCATCTTCTGGCCTGTTCATGACAAAAAGCACACGGACATCAGTTAATATAAGTATAAATAAAGGCTGAATGAATGAAAAAATTAATATATATATAAATTAATTCTCATTCACTTCAACAAAACTTTTCTGACGTGTTTTCAAGTTTAAGGGAATAAAAGAAAACTTAAAATTTGAAGGAAAAAACAAAGATCTGCACTAAAATCCCATAAAAACAAGAAAAGATGCTTGATTATTACAAAAACAATTACAATGTTTATTTCTAAAGGTTATAGTTAAAGACAATTAAAAAATAAATTTCAATTTTAACTACAGTTTAAAATACAGTTTAAAGTTAAACCTCTCCAGATAGGTTGGACGTACGTTAATTAAAATGAGAATAATCTATATAAAAACAAGATTGACACATAATTACAGCAATCTGTAAATCTTTAAAGTAAATTTTGCAACGCAGGATCCAAGTGAATATTTTTCCAAACTTTATCAGGCAGAGCCAGTTCCCTTTGAGGGAAATAAATCCACATTTGTTGTAAGTTTAAAACATTTTGTGATGTAAATGGGTGAATTTGCACAATGTCTCTTTAATCTGCTACTCCCTCCACACCTCCATCTTTTTAAAAACGTGTAAATTGACCAACTCTGGAAAATCAGCCAGAACTGGAGCACAAAAGATGTTTTTTTACTGTCGTACAGGCTCAGATATCTGATTATTAGCCTGTGACTGCATCATGTGTGATAAACGTCAACGGAGCTAAAGCTGGTGAGGAATTCTCTGCATGTAAACAAACCACTTGTAATTGTTGGCAACAAAACCTGACTCCTAATTTCATTCATTACAAATAAAGTACCGTAGTAGACTTTGAGGTTTTTTTTTTTTTTTTTTAATCATATATTTTAAAAAATCGGAGCAAAAACAATGATAAGTTGTGTATTTTGGCAGCTGCTATGGCTTTAATAACCCATGTTTTTATCTTCATACTTTACAGATCTGAGCGTAAACGCAAACAAAAACATGAAAACTGTCGAGACGTGAAAACTTCTACGACGCAAACGGCTCCTTTATGAACGTCGTCGACGTGTTTCTCGTTCCTTCAGCTGTTTTTGCAGGTAAACAAACGCACGTCGTCGTCTGCAGTCGGTCATTTGGACCTCGTGCCTCTGAGGTGTACTGATGGGGCGTCACTGTGAGCAGGTGCTGGACCACGACAATCACATTATTTCAGCGCATTGATCCACCTGATGTTTCAACATGGTTTACAGCTAAGGCTAGTTGAGTTTCAGAGCATTAATGACTCACGAGCTGACACCCTGACAAAGGCCAACACCCACAGGAGGCTAAAAGAAGCATCTGCAGCGAGCGGGCCTGAGGCCCAGATGGATCGACAACTGGAACAGGTTTTGTCCTGAATGCAGAGCAGAGCGAGCCGAGACGCAGCAGGCAGCGGGCCCGGTCCGTCAGCTGCTCTGTACATGAACACGGCAGCAACACAAAACTCTCCATCACAACGAATAATTAAAAACAATCACCAGGGCCGTTTTACTGCTTGGACTGTGCATTTAAATGTACTTAAAACACATGCTATTTGTGTTTGATGACAGAAAACAAATGTTTGTCATGCAGACCGGCCAAAAATCGTTTTGTAAAAAAAAAAAAAAAAAAAATCAGAATATTTTTCTCTCATCTCAATGTTAAACTTGTGTTTAAATCACAAATTTGTAACAATAACCTACGAAAGGGTTTTCGTGTTTGCTTATGGAAACAGCTGAAGTGGCTGAATTCAAGTCAAACGGTAAATTTACTGGCCATATTTGTTTACGGCCAGCCTAACGTAGGTCCGTTATACGACTCGAGTTTCACGTGGCGTCTGATGGACCCAGCCAGGTGCTGTGAGGCGCTCACCGAGAGTCGACCTGCATTTCAGCACAACTACCGGATCACTTCAAACTGCACAGCTTCGTATGCCTGCTTCATATTTGTTTTTATAGTTTGCAACGAGCACCTTTAATGCTTTGACGCCTGCCTTTCAAAGTTCTGTCAGAACAATTTGGTTTACCCAAAAGTGTCACGGTAACAAAACTAAAGTCAACACACAGAACCCAGTTATCTGCTACAGCACGCAGTCCAAAACCAACACAACCCAACATCATGTTTTGTGTTTCTCATCGCAACACAAGGCTAGAAAACTTGGTCTGAACGTTCTTGTATCGCACCGTCTTTAACAGCTATGATCTCTGCATCCAGAGAGGATCGGGAGCACAAACAAAACGTGTCGTGGTGGAGGGCTCGTCGTCTTGTTTGAGCAGGTCACTGTGAACGGGCGCTCTCTGTCCTGGTGAAATGTTAAACACACAACACCCGCTGCCAACAACCGCACCAGTCTGGAGAATGCAAACCAACTCCGTCCACATGTCTCAACACCTTCCTGGAGGATCTAAAGGACTGGCACAACTTTTGATTCGTGTCTCTTCCAATTGAAAAAGCTGCAAAGAAACACCTAGTTATTTATTAGACACTCATAATCTGCCGTCTGTGCCAAGTTTTCACTGTTATTCACGAAAACTTCCCACAACTGCAAATAAATCTCTTTATACACCCCAGTATAAACCATCTATGATGCATTTTCCAATTTTAGCACGATTGCTCTGCATTAAAAAAGCCATGAAGTACATTTAACAGCTGCCTCCATCAATCCAATCATTATTCCAGCAAAGGGCCGTGATTAAAATGGGGAATACTTACTGTGACAGGTTTCCTTCACATTATTGCACTCAAAAACTTTTCCCTAACATTTCAGGGGCTCTGAGTGGGTCTGAGGGACTGGGAAGAGGGGCAGAGAGCAAACTGTTCCAAAGTGAACACAAGAAAGGGCAACTTTGTGTTAGACTTGAACCACTTCTGGGATGCTTTGCAGACGTTTGGGGACTTTTTTGACTGTTTGGGACGAGTCAGTGTGGACACGACTGTGAATAAAAACGACAATGTTCAATGGACTTTTGAGCGGATTTTTAAAAGCGCCAGTAAAGTACAAAACACTCGAACTGCGACGAGCTCGGTTTTGAAGCTACGATAAACTGATATCGCTGCGAATTTTAACGCCGGAAGCAGCTAAGAGGGTTAGCCGTTAGCTTCCCTGACATGAGCTAGCATGCTAATGTTAGCCTGAAAACAGGCCGAGACGATCGGATTAAGTCACCTGCGGCAGCGATTGTCACCAAATACACTTGAATAAAAGTCGTTAAGTTAAAACTTGTTTTAACGATGGGCACAGATAATTAATCGATGTTTTAGACGAGGTAAACTGTCGAGATAAAAAAGTGCCAACGATCATGTTTCGACTTCGTCTTTCTCCCTTCAGACGAGCCGTCCATCGACTGATCGTTGGTTGTAATAATGTGATCAAATAAAAAGGGAATAAGAACGTTATTCCAGTTGGTATTTGGCCTTCCCGTTGTCGTTTCAACATGGCCGTTCTTTACCTCTCGATTCCCAGAAAAGGCGAGTTTAGTCCCTTTGACAGAAAAAAGGAAAAAAAAAAAAAAAAAAAAAGAAACCCCAGGCTTTAGTGTAAAAGCACAGGACAAATAAATAATTTCACTTAAATGACTGTAGAATTACTCGACCTTTCGTCAGTCAGGAGACTGTTGTGTTCGTGGTTGGTAGTTGGGGAGTTTGGATGGACAGTCATGCTTTCCACAGCCATTTCCCTCTAGCTACATTGAGGTGCAAAAAATTACAACTCTCGACACTGGAGTCTTATGCGTCACTTCACTACAATCTACTTATTTTTGTTTTAGGAAGAGATTCAGTTCATAGTAGGCAACTCTCCACCACAGTTGTAAGAGAAATATGCTGAAAGTGAATCCTGACGTTCTCCGTCCTACTGTAGCGATGTGAAACGACGACTGATGTACTAAAATGGCTGACCGTCTTCTCCACAGTAAAGGGGGCGGGGTTTCCGAAAGGCGGATCATGACGTAGAACCTCACGGAAAAAACCGTACGGCGTAGTCGGATGTAAATTAAGCCCTGATGTTGACTCGCAGGCGCAGGTAAAAACTACATTCATTCGTTTATTTAAACAGTTTAGTCTCATTGAGCCTCGAGGACTCATTTACAAGAGAGATCTGATTTTAACAAAGTTAAAGTAAAGCAAATCAAAGTAAAGTTAAGTATCGATCACCTTTTATTTTTGTCATTTGCATAATATACTGAAAAAAACGTTTGTTATTATTAGTAATCTTCCTTAATATTAGCCGCTGAACATCTAAACAATTTATAATGTGTATGTAATACGTTTTGAACATTTGCTCAAATCAGTCAGACCAAGAACAAATAACAAATTAATATAAGATAGAACTTTATTGATTCCACAGATTAGTACATTTCTTTCTCGTGTGTATAATATATTTTTTAGATTTATGTATTTATTTGTAGTTGCTGCATTTTACAACCAAACAGCACAGACCACATTTTAGACTTGTGCTTTTCATATAAATTAGCAGTCTGAAGGTTTACTGCGTTGACTTTGTAAACTATTGTCTCAACATTTATTTCAGAGCACGATATTGGTTTGGCGTGGTTTCTCTCTTCTTATAAGATTACTATGTATTTAATGTGTGGCTTAACATAAAGTCAATAATCTAAAAAAGGTAAATCTGGTCTTCTGGACATTCAAAAAACAAAACAAACAAAAAACTTAATAGCTTTTACTGTTAATTCAGATTGAGATGTAAACTCATTTATTCTTTCAGTTTTTCTATTTTGTCATAGGTCAGTAGTCTTAAGCTCATCCTATTCAGTTATTAAATTAAAATGTAATCAAACACTTAAACGAATTGTCGTGGCTCAGTGAGACTAACCTGCACAAATAAAGGTTGAATGAATAAAACAAATCTAATCACAAAAAACAAAGAGCCTATTTTAATCTGCTTTATCTTGATTATTTGTAAAGTTTCAAGCTGATCCAAACACCACTTAGTATTCGTCCCTGGAATCAGATAATTTTACTAACACAGGAGTCACACAACAAAAAAACTTTTTTTTTTTTTTTTGTGGCTTTGTTTGCGACAGTCCAAACTGAGGGAAAATTTTACCCAAACACCTCCTGGTCAATAATATAAAGACGTCCACAACAAAAAGAAAGAAGAAAAAAGTCCAGAACAAAAGCATTCTACATTGAACAACTGAGTGAGTGCTTTCTGAGCCATTTAAATTAATTTTAACAAATGTCGGTGGGTACAAAAATATTTTGGCGATTAGTTAGTATAAGACCGAAACTACCATTACAATATAAATTAAATCAAGTAAATAGACGCTAAAAAACTAAGACAAGAAAAAAAAAATCAAAGTAAACAAATCAAAATAAAAAAAGACTTAAAAAATTGAAATATGTCGTGTTTTCTACTGACGTCATCATTCAGCGCCCATTCAGCGGACGCTCGCGGAATTTTCGCCATTCAATTTTTGTAGCTGCTAAAAAAAAAAAAAAAAAAAAAACCTGAATCGCGCCGTAATTCAAGGGTTCAGAGCTATCAGAAATGATCGATATGATCGATAAAGAGGACCCGGTCATCAGTGAAGAGGAAGCGGCGCAGTATGATCGCCAGATCCGGTTGTGGGGGCTCGATGCCCAGAAGAGGTGAGTTAGCTCAGTTAGCTCCGAAGGCTAACCGACGCAGCGGAGCGCTTCGCTTGTTGCTCCGTTTCTGCGTCCTTTTCAACGAAATGCTGAACATTTCTTACATCACATGCAGTAGAAGTATTACAAACAAAGTTAAATCATTTGGAGCAAGTGTCAATTCTTTTGGTAAGTTCTACAATCCGTAATTTTGAAATGATCCATCAGCTGTCAGGCGGCTGTTTCCATCAGAAATAACGGAGCGATCGATTTATTATCTGCAATGCAATTAAAAACGTAACATGACATTTAAGTCTTTGAAGGGAAGAAATATAAAATGCACAAGTCTAAAGTCAAATGTAATTGGTTATTTTAGAAATGGCTGTACATTTATCTCCTGATTGTAAAACCTCAGATTATCAGAAACTTGACCTCCGGTCTTCATTCTGTCTGCAATCCCTGCAGATTACGAGGGTCCCGTGTGCTCCTGGCTGGTTTAGGTGGTCTCGGAGCTGAAGTGGCAAAGAACCTAATCCTTGCTGGAGTTAAGGGGCTCACTTTGCTGGATCATGAACAGGTAAACAAATGCTTTTAGAACGAACAAGCAAATCCAGATGACAGTCAGTGTTTTCAGAGATCACTGCAGATCTGAAGCAAATCTTTTTCCCCTAATGTGATACATTCATTGTCCATAAAACAAAAGGTCTTTTGTGGCGTAGACATACAATATACGGTTTGTGTTTGTGTTTTGTGGCACCTTTATGCTTGTAGTACATCATATCTCCACTAGATGGCTCCGTCGACACAACTAGTTGTGTTTTATTGCAAACTGTAAATCCATCCTTCCACCTACTGTTTTCTTTTTGAGTCACAGGGAAGCTATCATAAAAACAACTTTAACAAGACCTCATTAAACCGGACCATATCCACACTGGACCATATCTGTACCCTGCTGGACCTTTGTCTTGTCACAACTTATTTCAAGTTCACTGACAACTTCTAGAGACAGAAGCACGGTTGTGCCGTGGGAACTCCTGGGTCACCGATTGTGGCCAGTCTCTACATGGAGGAAATGGAACAGAGAGCCCTGGACTCCTATAAGGGAACAACACTGAGCCATAGGTTCTGGTATGTGGACCATACCTGGGTCGAACTAGAGAAGTAGAAGGTTCAGCAGACTCATCAACTCTGTGGACAACAAGCTCACCAGAGAGAACGTCAACAACAACAAGCTGCCTTTTCTGGAGCATTTGTTGGAAATGGAAGCCTCAACACTGAGATCTGCAGGGAACTTACTCAGGTCAGAACCTTCTGTTGGACTCTCACCACCCACTGGAACACAAACTTTACACTGCCGGTCTGAACATGTCCCCACGAGGACAGAAGGAACAGAACCACATCATAGAAGCTCTCTAAATCTGTGGATGTCCTAACTGGACCTTTGTTAAATCAGCAAACAAATCCAAAAGAACAGAACGGGGAGAAGAACAAACATCATCCCAGATGTTGCTGGAGGATCTGAGGGACTCCAAACACAACACCTGCACATTTTAAACCCAATAGGACCTTCAGAGGCTGGTCCATCCCAAGGACAGAACCCCCAAACCCAGACTGAGCGGTGTGGTGTCTGCAGGAACGTTCAGACCTTCATGTCGGAGAAACTCAAGAACCTCTCCACAGACACACGGATCAACGATGGAGAGACTCAGAGGTCCAACTACACCTCAAGGACACGAGACACTCTGCTGAGGACCAACAGGTCCAGATGGTTTGAGAGGGGGTGAAGGAAGACAAAAAAATAAATAAATAAACAGAGGAGTAAACCTACAATGCAGCACTAAACCTGATCCCAGGTCAGCTCCACACCTTCATGAGGCGACCCAAACATCTCTGAACCAGGCAGACCAAGAGCCTAACGAGGAGTTCCAGTCTAACCTGCAGCTGAACCTAAGAACGCAACATGCAGTTCTCTAAAGCTTGGACCTCCACACACTTTAGAACTGATGAAGACGAACATCTTCAGCTTCAGAACACAAGTCCGGTTGTTTTGTTCTTGTATTTACCATGACTGAGAATCTACACCAGCAGTCACCGTGTGAGGGGCGGGGGACAGGGCAGGCCTAGTCCATCACAGGGACACATAGAGACAAATGAGACAACCTTTCAGTCTCACTCACACCTGGGGACAAATTAGAGTTACTCATGAACCTTAACGTGCAGATTCTTGTCTGTGGGAGGAAACCAGAGCACCCAGAGAAAACCCATGTATGCACAGGAAGAACATGTAAACCCCTTCCCCTCTTCCACCTTCACGCTACCACTGCCCCACCGTGTCACTCGGGTCAAACGTGGGTCCACACGTAACGTAAACGCAGCTGCTCTCAGTCATTTCGGCTGTTTGTGCAGGGAAACAAACGCAGGTGGCAGCTGTCACACATTTATTTAGCTTAAAACTGTCACATTTTAGCGCATAACATCATTATGAGAAAGAAAGTGAGCAGATTTTGTTTATTTGTGATTTTTATATTTGGAACAACGTTCATGAATTTAAAGCTTAATACTATTTGTGACGTGGTTTACGGTGGCGCTACAGAAACGTGAACAAAGTTCTGCCTTTGCGTTCATCTACAGATAATTTCTGACGTTCGTTTTACTTTAGTTGTTCTCAGAGTTCCAGTCAAATAAAACGTTTGAAACAAGAAAGGCAGAATTGTTTTGTGTGCACGTTTTAACGAACGTCTGTCACGGTTTCTCTGTTCGTCCGTTAGGTGTCGGAGGAGTCGTGTCGAGCTCAGTTCCTGGTTCCCGTGTCGGCTCGGGGCCAGAACCGGGCCCAGGCTTCCCTGGAGCGAGCGCAGAACCTCAACCCAATGGTGGAGGTGCACGCTGACCCAGGCAGAGTTGAAGACAAACCGGACGACTTCTTCCTGCAGTTTGATGCGGTGAGAGAAAACGAACGTCTCCTGGAGTCAGTGAAGCAGACGTTTACATTCAGGGTGGATAAATCATGCCAGAGACGTTTAATTTGAAATGTGTTATAAATCATGGAGGCGTGGAGCAGGAACACTCAGTGCAAATGTTTGTGTCAGTTTTCATGTTGGCCACCAGATGTTGCTTGTTGCTCACGTTGTGCAGAAAGAAGAACTTGTTGAGCCTCACAACCAGAACTTGTAGCTTCAGCTGGTTTTAAATATACCTTCAGCTTAATTATAACGTAGCTTCAGCTGGTTTTAAATATACCTTCAGCTTAATTATAGCGTAGCTTCAGCTTGTTTATAACATATCTTTAGCTCATTTAAATTGTAGCTTCAGCTTGTTTGAAACGTAGCTTTACCTCGTTTATAACGTAGCTTCAGCTCGTT